GGGGTGCTGTGGGTGGGTGGCAGGAGGACGGGACGTTAGGGGCCCACTGAGCAGCGACAGCAGGGGCTGCCCATGGAGACGACAGGACACGCCCAGCAGGTCCCACACCAGGCGCAGCTCCCTGCAGGCCATGGCCTCACTGCTGCCACGGGGTCCGTGTGGGCGCCGTGCCGGGCACGGCGAGGAGGTCATGACTGCTGTCGCGCCTTCCTGGGAGGTCACAGGAGACGGAATCGGAGCTTCACCTTCACTCTGTCCCCGCGGCACAGCCGCTGCCCCGCGTCCCGGGAAGGTCACTCAGCGACCTCTGCTTCCCGACCCGCTGCTGCTGCGCTCGCAGGAAACGGAACCGCTGGCTTTCCTGTCCTGGGCAAACGGTCAAGGTGCCTTTTCCTGTCCTCTCGGTCTTTTATCGTTTCCATTGTGCTTCCAACCCTGGCACCGTCTTCAGGAAGGCCTGAGTCCTGTGCCCAGCGCTCGCCCTCGCTGAGCCCCCCTGAGCCCATGCCGAGCCCTTGCCAAGCCCACGCTGAACCCCCCTAGGCCCCCCTGAGCCCACGCCGAGCTCAGGCCGAGCCCATGCTGAGCCCATGCTGAGGCCCCCCCTCACCCCGCTGCAGGAGCCTCCAGCCCGCCCGCCAGGGAAGCACCTGACCTTGACAGGTCACTGCGAGGTGCCAGGCACAGACCTAAGGTGGCGTTTTGCACAACCACCTCCCTCCCGCCCTGCGCTGTCCTCCCGGTGGCCGTGGCCACCCTCCCGGAGACGAGGAGGCACAGAGAGGCGAGGGGCCTGCGGGCCACGCAGCGGGGTCTGTGCCAGCTTCCAGAGGGCGCCTGTCCGCTGCCCAGGAGCGTGGCCGGGACGGAGGGAGCTGCGTCCCCCAGTCCACGGAGGGGCCTCTGCTCCAGGCGGCAGGGGCGGCGGGGCTTCCTCGCCCACGTCTCACCCACCAGATTCTCTCCTGTCGGTCAGAGCCGGCTCCTGTTTTCCTTAACAGGAGGGGGAGTCAGTGCGGCCGCACATCCTACAGCCCAGGAGGCTGACGATGAGGCCTAGACAGCAGCGGCTCGGACAGGAGGGCCCGCCTCCGGCGGGGCCACGGGAGGGAGCGCGGTGCTGGGGTCCCGGGGAGTGTGTGTGTGTGTGTGTGGGGGGGGGGCGTGAAGGGCAGCAGCTCTGAGGCGAGTGCCCGAGCACGTGGTCCCCCTGGCACCAGGCGGCCCCGTCCTCAACCAGGAGAGCACCTCAGTGCGGCTGCACTCGGTGAATTCCGTCTTCTGGCCTCCGTTCCGGGCCTGTCTCTCTTCTTGTCTGTCTGTCTGTCTCTCACACACACAACCAGACTCTCACGAAGTGTCTGTATCCTTCGGCGCAGACGCAAGGCGGGTTCCCATTCCACGCCCATCAGTGTCGCCACCACATCCACGGCATCAGAGGAAAACCCCACGACCCCATCGCTCGAGGGAGAAACGCACGGGCAGAACCCAGCGCCCCCCAGGGCAGCCTCGGGGAGCTGGGCCGGCACTTCTTCTCTGGGTGACCATCTGCAAGCCCACGGCTCAGGCACCCCGACGGGAGACGCCAGGGCTCCCACAGGACGCCCAGGAGGGACGCCCCTTCATCACCTCTGCTTGGTGTTCCGTCGGCAACTAAAACAAGTGCACGGCCCCCAGGTCTGCTCAAGCCGCACGGACGAGAGCATGAACCACTCCTCCCGGGTCCCAGCCAGTGTCGGACGGACGGACTCCCGCGGACGCTGCCCGTGCCGTCCCCAGGGGAGACACGCTGCCCACCATGTCTTTAGCCACAAGTTCTCTTTTTTCTGTAGCATCGCCTTGAGACCATTTTCCTTAAACAAACAAACAGAAACAGCATCGCTAACTTTCAGATTCTCCCATTAATGATGCAACTCGATGATGAAGCAATGGTTTTGCTGACTTTCACCAACTCCTGTCACTTTGTGCTCAGACTCATTCTCAGAAATCCACCCTGGCCAACCTCCCAGCCAGCCACAGCGGGTGCCCTGGGTGCAAAGACGGGGATCAACACTAGGGAACTTGTAGAAAAAATGTAAAACGGACGGGGGTGGGGGGGGGAGGTCTTGGTGAAACCACATAACCGGAAGCCTGGACGGGTGTGCACAGCCTCGCCGCCCGGCTCCCGCTCCCCGACCGCCCGCCCAGGTCTCCCGACTTCCCGCTCCCTGAGCAGGAGCAGCCGAGGGGGAGCAGCTGAGCGAGGGCAGCCGAGCGAGGGCAGCTGAGCGAGGGCAGCCGAGCGAGGGGCATGGCCTGGGGAGGCTGGAGCAGCAGCAGGCCGAGCCCCGAGCTGGCACTGCCCCCGCTGACACGACTCATCTGCAGATCCCTGTCGGGTCAGCAAACCCTCAGGAAAACAGCACCTGGACCTGCCGCCGTGGCCGGGGCCACCTGACCTGCATGGACACCTGGCTGCAGGGAACATGCCTACTGAGGCCACAGAGCAAACCTGTTCCACAGGCTGTCGGCTGTAAACACTTCAAAACTGCTTCGTCAGAGCCCGTCCTGGCGTCCGCGAGCGCCATCAGGGCGGCCAGGAGCGGATGCTATTTGCTAACGAGTGGGACGGGCCGCCCCGGGCTGCCCCCCCCACCCCCGCAGATTTCCTTCCCCAGGGTGAGCCCAGGCTCTCGGGCCCAGGCTCTCGGGCTCTCTGTCCCGAGGTCTCAGCAGCGGGAGCGTGTGGTACCTCGCACGTGGGCAGCACAGTCCAGGCTCGGACCTGCTTCCCACCGAACCTCCTCCCCTCTGAGCGAAACGCTGACCCCGGTCCTGAGAGCCACGGCATGGCCTGCAGATGCGCCCTCGTCCTGTTCACCGCGGGGGCTGGGGGCGGGGGTCGTTTTGCAGGATTTGCCACGTGTCTTGGAGGACATGGAGTTTGCCCACCGGCCTGCGGGTCCTGGTGGCACTGGGACCCCCACCCCGTGCTCCCTGCAGAAGGGCCGCCTCTCTGCAGCCGACTGAGGAGGAGCCATGACCACTGACTGCGGGGAGTCCCAGCAGGAGGCGGGGCAGACACGCCCCGAAGGCAGACCCCAGAGGACCCCCGGCCTAAACAGGATCGTTCCCCAAGGCTGGGGGGACGGGAAAGATGGACGGACGATGAAGACGACGGCTTGGTCCCCAGAGGCTGTTAGTTAACACTGCGCTGCAACCTTTTCTAAAATAAACTAGAAAAGAAGGGACCACGTTGGGCGTTGGGGCCCGGGCTCAGGTGGGGGCTGGCCGACGGGTCAGTTCGTCTCCATAGAAACCAGGCCACGGCGCCTGCTCAGGAGGGAGACACAGGTCACCTCCGATGGCTCTGACCAGACGTGTTCACTCAGAACCTGCCGCCAGCAGCGCCCCCAGCTGGACCCCAGGGACCCGTCAGGTGAAGAGGTAACTGGGCAGTTGTGCAACTTGCTTCCCTCTGGGGTTCCTTCCACCACCTCAAAGCCGCCACCTGGGAGCTGGCGGCCTCCGCCCTCCTCCTCCCCGACCTCTCGCCTCCACATGGACCTCACCCCGCGCCCCAGCCCCAGCCCTCTCATCCTCTCATCGGTGCCAGGACTGCAGGGTGAGGCCCCGGGGCTCATGGCGGGCACCCAGGTTCCCGAGCTCCCAGGCCACTGCCACCCGATCCCTCTGGCCGAGGGGCTGTGAGCCGCAGGGAACCCCCCCAGCTCCCTGTGGGAGCCCCTTCATTCCTTTCCACCCTCAGACCAAATGGGGCTTGAAAAACACCCACAAAACGCCCTGCATTGATTTCAGAGGCTGTGAAAGCAGGGCCAGACCCTCACAGGGCCTTGGGCGCGAGCCTCAGGCTGGGCGGCCCTGGGCGGCTGGGCCTTTGAACTTCAGAGCCGCTCAAAGCCTCCCTTCTCTCCGGCTCCGCCTCAGCCCGGCCGCCCGCCCAGGGCCGCCTCCCCAGCTCCCTGCTGACCACACGCCTGCCCTCTGAAAGCAGCCTTGTTCGCAGGCTGCCCTTCCGCCCGCTCACCTCCCGCACCACCGGAGGGAGAGGCCCCGTGCCCACCTGGCACGGCCACAGCAGGGAAAGGGAAAGATGGGCAGAGGGTCGAGCCCCACCGGCCTCCCAGGAGGCGCCAGTGGGAGAGGAGAGAACATCCATTTGCAAGCTTGGGAGGGTCCTCCACGTGGAGAAACAAAAGGCAATTCAAAGCGCTCTCCCGGACAAACAGCCTGCTCGGCTCGGGCTGCGCTCGGAGGCCACGGAGGGCGGGAAGCAGGGCCACAGTTGAATGGAGGGCGTCACCCTGGGGTCAGGGCAGCGCGGGCAGCTCGGGCGGCAGCGGGGAACCAGGGACGTGGGACTGGCACAGAACCGTGTCTCCCGTGGACTGACTCAGGTCTCCCGACTTCGCGCTCCCTGTGGGACATGCGACACGCTCGGTCACGCAGGCTGCTGGACGGCGAGTGTGTGAGTGCGCAGGGACCCGCGGGGAGACGTGATCCTGGCGTGACCT